CGAGCTAAGAAAATGCTTATCTCCCTGAGCCTGGCCTTCATAATTCCATTCCATCACAACCTGCTATAGTTCCCAATAGGCTTAATTATGCTAAAGTCCAACTTCCCTGGTACAACCCCTCAATGTAATCAACTCACCTGGCGCTGTTTTTCCATCTCCGTCTGGGTAGTGTTGCTGCTGACAGCCCCCTCCTGGCCAGCTGTCAGTTCTTGCAGCTCCCTACTGGGGGGTCCTATTGTCCCCTCCTCCCTCTTGTCACTTGAGGGCATGCCTCCTCGTGGCAGGAAGGACAAAGCGCCATCTTGCTGTGAAGGCGGCTGCTGGGGCAGCACCGATGGAGGTCGTAGCGGGGAGATTGTGTAGGAGTCTGGGGTGTTTTTGCTTGGGCCCAGAGGGCTCCCAGCCTGGTGGAAGCCCGGTGAAGAAACATAGCTTGTGCTTTGAGGTTTGCCAGGAGCAAAATGGCTGTTGACCCCTTGGGAAGGAGAACTTTTGACTGGCTCATTGGGAGGGAAGGTGAACCGCATCTGCGGCTGAGCACTGGGAAAGACACTGGCACCAGGGGAGCGAATAAACTGAGATTGCTGGTTGGTCTTTGGGTGGGACTCAGATGAGGGTGGCACTACTGAGAAACTCCCAACTGCCAGGGTGTTATGGGAGACAGGCATTGGCTTGAAGCCAGCATCTGGGATTTGAGCCCGAGGGGGCTTGTGCAAGGGGGCAAAGGGGTCCCGGGACTGGGGCCGGGAAGGAGGTCTGGAGTAGGGGTCAGGGGACTGAAAGCGAGGAGTGACAGGAGACTGGCAGAAGGCTTCATTGGAGAGCGGACGGGGAGTGAGAGGGGACTGGGAGCTAGATTGAGACTGTGGGCTGGCAGGTATGCGTGAGAAGGGGTCAGAAGGCAGCGAGCGAGGCGGCAAAACGCAGCAGGCCTCTGGAGGTGGGGGCTGAGGCCTTGGGGTCAGTGGGGGCTGGGCATAGGGATCTGGGTAAGGCGACTGCCTATAGAGATCAGCCTGGCTGGGTGGGGAAGCAGCCAGAGGGTGAGAATCTGGGGGCCGATGCCCTAAGCCTGGGCTTTGTGGCTCCACCTGAGACTGGCGTGGGGTGAGTGGGGCTTTAAAAACGTCAGGGGCCTTCATTTCACTGGAGGGGTGAGCACTGGAAGGGGAGTTGCTATAGCTGGAGCTGTAACTAGGAGAGCTAATCGCTGGACCAGTGTCCTCCTTCTTGACATCCAACCCTTTCTTTTGCTGCTCCCCAAAGGGTGGGGGGGAAAGCAGAAGTGCAGCTCGCTGAGGGCTTCCAGGCACAGACAAGTTTTCCAGGGATCCACTTGGGCAGCGGGGCTTAAGGAAGGGGTCCGGTGTAGAGGGCTGATGCCTTGGGGTTCCAGGTGGGGTGGGCTGCAACTCTCCAGTCTGTGGGGCTGGACGAGGGTTTGGTAGGAGTGGAGATTGTCCAGAGGCGGCGGAAGAGGAAGAGACAAAGCCGCCAGGCACTGTAGGACTCTGGCCCACCAAGGAGGGGGAAGGAAAACCTGGATCTGGTGGAGGGCAAGCAGAGGCCATGCCATAGGGCTCATGCAAAGGCACTGGCACTGGGGGCTGGGCACTGGTGGCAGAAGAGGGAAGCTTGAGGAAGAGCTCACTGGGCGACTCGACGCCTGACCCACTTGGCAGAGCTGCAGCATGATTGATGTAGAGGGGCTGCCCCGATGCTGAAGCAGCAGAGGAAGGAGGTGGCAATGGCTGAGTGGCACCAGACAGCACCCCCTGCTGGGATGGTATGCGTAGATGAAGGGTGGGGCGGTCTGGCCTTCGCAGCACCTCCACTTTGGTTTGTTTGCTGATCTGGCTCTCAGCTTGCTGTGAAAAGGGGAGAAGAAGATGCCCCAGAAGCACACTGTCAAAGACATCATCAATGCCAGAAGAGCACACACAAAGGCAAAATGTGAACAGTTTAAAGTTTTACAGGACACGGGACACCAGATATTTCCTGGGGAGGGAGGAGAGGAAGAATGGCCCTTGAAAAACCCATCTGAGTGGCCCTTGAAAAACCCTGTCTATGGTTTCTGTGTGCTAGATAAATGTGAGTCTCTTTGTCTTTGCATAAACTGCTTACTCCTTATTTGGGACATTTGCATCCTGCTTCCAAAACAACAGAACAAATTAAACACTGAATTCATCATTTAAAAATCTTAAAGTTCTGTGAAAAAGTATTTGCCTCCTTTCAGATTTTCTCAATTTTTACAAGTTTTTACCATCCAACATTGTCAGAGGTTCATGTGTGTCCTACAGATACATAAAGGGAGTCTCAATGAATAAACAACCTTTTGATACTTGCTTCATTTACTTCATAAACAAAGTAATCCAACATGGAATATGCCGGTGAGAAAAAGTAACTGCCTCCACCCCTTAAATTCAGGAACTGCCTGACCCCACCCCACTTAGCTTCTATAACTGCAATCAAACACATTGTGAAATTGGGGATCAGTCTTCCACATTGCTGCACAGGAATGTTGCCCCACTACTCCAGGGCAAACTACTTCAAATCAATGTTTTGAGGGTTTTCTCACATGAACTGCTCTTTTTAAGTCCTGTCAAAACGTTTCTATGGGGCTGAGCTGGCCATTCCAAAACACTGACTTTCCTCTTCATCCATTCTCTTGCTTGCATGTTTGGGATTACTGCCTTACTGCATGATCCGCTTGTGCTTCAGATGAGAGATTATCTGGTATCCTCCTGTAGAGTTTTACGATACAAAGCAGAATTCACACTTCCTTCAATGATAGCAAATTATCCAGGTCCTGAGAAATTCCCAAACCATGGCACTGCCATCTCCACGCTTGAGAATTCCCATTGTGAAATGCACCATTTGGTTTCCATAGACATAACAATATCCACATTGCCCGCAAAGTTCCATTTCTGAAACATCCATAAAACATTCCTCCAACAGTCTGGAGGGTCACCTCATGCTTTTGGCAAACTTTAGACAAGCATCAATGTTCTTCATACTGAGCAATAGCTTCCACCTTGCTACTCTCCTATGACTCTCGTTACCTAGTGCTTTTCTGCTGGTGGAATCATGAATGCTGACTTTAATCAAGACAATCACAACCTGTAGATCCCTAGATGTTACTGGGTGCTTTGCAACTTCCTGGACAATTTTTCATAGCACTCTAGGAGAAGATCTTTAACAAAATATTCACTATTGGTTTAATGATCTTCAGAAATATGTTCTCATCTGAGCATATTGTGCCTTCAAAACTGTATTGAGAACACTGTGATGAGGAGCACGAATTTGTGATAAATAGATGATAGATATATAGATCTCCAAAACCTAATTTTTTAATGAAGTACTCACACAACTGGCCATAGTTCTCCCTTTAGTTTAACTGACTGAAATGGAAAGTGAGTGTGTGTGTTTGCATGATTACTTTCTCACACTGGCACATTACATCTGGGATGAGTTTGTTTTTGAAACAAACTAAAAAAACCACTAACTCTGGCATTCACTCAGATTCCTTTTATATATTAGTAAGATCTATGCGAAACATTTATAATATCCCATGACAAAGATATAGAAAACTTTCAAAAATCTGAAAGGATTTGAATACTTTTTCACAGAACTGTATGTAAAAATTTAATATAAATTGAAGCCACCCAAAAAGTGCATCATTATAGATCTGGGGGAAGCCACGGAAGACAGGGATATATGGAACACAGCCGCAGATGATGACCTTAAGAAACAATTTAGGTTAACAGAAAAGGAGTCTTTCTCCCCCTAAATTTGGTTATTATGTAGTGAAAAATAGGGATCAGCTTTTCTGGGCACAGAATGGCGTACAACCTTGGCAAGAACAGGTTCCATATACTATGACAATGGGTACCATGGCATGTCAGGCCTAGCTTCCCAAAAAGAATCTCCCTGCCTTGGTCTTAACCTATTTCAATTGTCTTGCCTACCTTCTGCACCTTGTTAATGCGGTGGGCTGCCCGGTTATCTTTGGCCTTTTGCTGTCAGAGACATAAGTACAGGATGAGAAAAGGAAAGAAAAATATCACACACACCCCATACCCAAAGTCACCCAATGTTCTCTTCTTATGCTATTGAATAAGTCACATAAATTATTACTTTCAAATCATTAATATACATAGGTGTGTGTAATATAAAATATATAACTGACTAGTGATAGTGGCTATCAATTCAGAACACTTAAAAAAAAGAAAAAGCTAAAATATTTTGTCTCTAAACTTTTATTTATTTTTCTAGTCACTCTAAAACATATACTTTTAAGTATGTAGCATCCTTCTGGGATCCACAAAAAATGATTTAATGTTTTAAAAAACATATGTCTGTCTGCATCTGTACAAAGCCAGACAAAACTGAACAGGTATTATAGCACAGGAGGGCAACAGGGATTGTCTCCTTTAACCCCACTTTCTCTGCCGTAGTTGATGCAGCAGACATTCAACACAGAAAAAAATGGATTCCTGAGCAGTTGTTGCACACCTGAGCAAATGACAGAGGCTGCAGCTGTCCTCAGAAGTGAGGACAAGAAAGGATATGAGAAGGTGACAACACAAAACTATTCTGCTCTGGGTATGCAGAAGCAGGGGAGTCATCCAAGAAATACTATAGGATGCTGTGCAAAACACCATACAAGACAGGACAGGAGAGGTCTTGCCATTTCCACAGAGCTGAATAGCTTTGGTGACCCTCATAATAGAAGACCTTACTAGAAATCATTTTCTGTAGGCCAGTCAGGCTTCAAAGACTCTTGGACTACAGAATAATTAGCTGATTATAGCTTGAAGAAACCCCCTTTGTTTCAATTCTTCACATTAACTGTGTCCCTCTGGCCCCGCTGAGTGAAACACTGTCATCAGGATTTATATTTTGCTGGTCACTCTCTTAATTTATTAATGGAAAGGCTCTGGAACTTCATCTGTTCCACTCCTAAAGGAAATCAAGGCCAGCACAAGTGCTTTACTTCTATTTGTGAGAGAAGTGCAATAGGCTCCTGGAACAAATTATTCTCTTCCTCTCATAGGGTCATATTAGCAATCTCCTTTTCCAGGTGTGGATCTCAGCACAAGCTATCTGGTCGCAAGCAAGAGTGGAATTGCCTGATTCAGGACAACCAGGCTTGAGAAGTACAAAAAAAAATTAAAGAGAATCCTCAAAACTGAGAGCTTGGAGTATGCTGACAATTAGGAGGAAATGGAATAGGTGTATGAAAGAGCAGGTGGCTGAATACAAACACTCTACAGTACAACATTCTGTAGCAGTTGTGCTAACAACATAGGAGTTACACTGATACAAGGATACTGAGAGCATACACACTCCCCCCTTAAGAAATCTGATAAATTCTGTTAAATATAAGAGAAAAAAACCTCACTTTTAAAAAGCTATACTTATATAATTATATACTTATACTCAAATTCAAAACTCATATTTACATGGGCCACTTACCAAATAAGGGGCTTTGTCTGGAGCTGGCACCTTTCGCCAAAGCTTCATGATCTGCTTGCAACGGCTAGACCAATCTGGAAGGGGAACAACAAGAAAAAGGATATAGCATTGCCTAGTATCCCTCATCGTTGGCCATACTCAGCAACAACTGGAGAACAATAGATTCTGTATCCTGCTACAGGCAGATAATAGACTATGCCAATTTTTCTCAATCAGTGCCTTCCAGATGTGTTGGATTTTTAACTGCCATAATGGTACTAAGGATCTGCTTGATAGAAAGTATATAGACAGTGAGTGGGAAAATGAGACATGCAATTTGGAAACAAATTTGGGATATGATGGGCTAAGGAGAGATTTCTTTTCCATTTAGCATATTATCACATAGGAAAAACTCTGATTCGACCAAGAATTTCTTCACTGGCATCATTAATGGTTCCATATATATTCTAGAAGGATGTGGAGCTTAAGAACATCTGATTGAAACTGACAAATGTAGAGCTGTATATATTCTGAGGTCATGCCGTAGTAACACAACTGAATGAGATTTATTAGCACTTGGCAATAGTAGGGCAAGCAATGATAATACACCTTCACTGACAATGGCAGCAGAGGACCCTCAAAGTAAGGGTGTTATTATGCACTTCAAATTTATTTGATCCTAGTGGTATCACTTGGATCCTTTGAATCACACAATTTTTGGTTTCTTGAAGAAGTAGCCTGGGGTCCTTGAACTGCCTATTTTGGCTTTGGCTGCACAGAATACCCACAGCACAAAGGAAGCATATTGTTTCCATCTCCACAGATCTGACTGAGAGATCCATAAAAGGGAGATGGGCCTCAAACGCAAAGGAAGAAAGGGTGAGAGACAACTAACTAACCTGGGTAATCCTGCTTTAGGCTGGGGAAATTCATGTTGGCATAAAGGACAGGTGAGATGGTAGAAAGCTCTCCCAGTTCCTCATCCTTCTCCCAACGTTGCAGGCTCCGCTGGTTGTATGAGAGCCCATCGCTTTCCCCCTCTGTCGTGGGTGTGGTTGGCGTGGAAGCTGCAGAGCTGCTGGCCCAAGGACTCTCTGGTTCACACTGCTCAGGGCTGAAGAAGCCACTCCTCTCCCTACATGGAGGTGAGGGAAGACAGGGAAACACATTAACAGCAGGGTATAGTGGGGAAATTGTCAAGGGATGGGTCTCGGCTTGGCCAAGAGATGATCCTGTGCAGGTGACCTACTTGTTATCAAGGAATGGGGACTGGCAAACTCCAGAGTAAGTCTCCATGGGTACAGCAGGCTGCAGGGGCCCAAGGGATGCACCACTACCTATAAATGAGTAGAGACATTGCAGAGCTTGAATCAAAAGAGCTCACATATGCATACTACAATCCAGATATCCCAGTGAATACCACCAAAAGTAAGAAGATGTGAGCTTAAGCAGCTGAGGTCTGAAGTAATTTTAAAAATTAAATTTTGTAAGTTAACAGATCAAGGATAAAAGAATACCAATATGTGCTACATACAAAATAGATAATGCTTTTTTGCCTTATTATGGGGAAAGTATATTTATTTAGCCAACTGTTCTAGTGAGCACTTATCAGCCCGTATTAATGCAATCATCTTCTGACTGTAGTTCTAGACAAGTATAAGAGATTTAGCCGTGACTGGCTACTGTGAAATGTAGCTAAAAGCCATGCCACTGATTTCCATTGAATTTACTTGGTATAGCTGGAGGGGCCTTTCCATCAGCCACAAGCCTTTTGCACATTACATTATGCAGAGGGAACAGAAAGCATAAGAGGACTATGTTCCTGTTCCCCAAACACCTGTATTCACTAGCCTCCCAAAGCAAAGATTTTGCACCTACATCTCTAATGGGCTGTCAGCTGGAGTGACTGCATTTCACTGAAGCTAGGAGCAGAAAGTAAGAGCTTTGTGTGAGATGGGCAGCTATATACATGTGACAGATAGATAGATAGATAGATAGATAGATAGATAGATAGATAGATAGATAGATAGATAGATAGATAGATAGATGCTGCTTGTAACATTCACGCAGTTACAGCGGGCCTCTCACGAGTGAGGGGAAAGAAGACACCAAACTGATTCTCCTTTGAGGGGGATGAG